AACACTGGATAAGAAAAGAGGAGGCTGGGGATGTAGCTCAGTGTGAATGCCCTGGGTTTAGTCTCTAGGGCCACAATTGAAAACAAAGACAAGAGTTACCCTGTCTTCTTTACCTGATCTTGATATTTCAGTTTATAAAAAACTTCAGCCTTTTTGCTACTAGGTATACAGATGTATGTCACTGTAGTATAAATGTGCATTTCTTTAGTGGGGTAAGCTAATGATGTTGAGTATCTTTATGTGTGCAGATATCTTGCTCTTTTTTAATCACTAGGGCTTTCTTACTGAGCTATGACCTTCCCCTTTTACTTTTTTAATTGGGTTATTTTGAAAGAAGGTCTCAGCAAGTAGTTAAGTTGCCCAGACCTGGCTTGAATTCGCAGACCTCCTACCTTGGCTTCCCAGAGTGCTAGAGTAGAGGAATAGAAGTTTTAAAGTTTTAAAATTTTAAAGAAATACAATGTAGCAGATTTTTCTTATGTGTTTTGTGCTTTTTGATATTTTGATACCTAAGAAATGTTTGTCTTAAGAACCCATTGTTTACTCCACAGTGGCAAGATTTATTCATTTGGTTTGATCTAGAAGTTTACTGTATAATTCTATGGTTACGTTTAGGTCCACATTTTTTTTTTTTTTTTAGTGGTGCTGGAATTGAATCCTGGCTTTTGCACCAAGTTCCATCTCCAACACGTTTTTATTGTTTAGTTTTGAGACAGGGTCTCACTAAGTTCCTACCTTACCCAGGCTGGGCTCCAACTTGTGACCCTCCTGCCTCAGTTTCTGAGTATTCGGATTACAGTTAGATTTATGATCTATTGTGAGTTAATCTTCATGCATGGTGTGAGATATTCTAATTTTATACAGTAGAACTTTAAAAATCTTTCTGTAACGCCCTGCTGTGATGTTTTGTTTTATTTGTGATGGTTTTTATATCATATATATCTCCTGCTGAGCCCCACCCCCACTTCCCCATGTCCCTTTGAATGCGCTAGTTGTCTCGATTTGCCAGTGTGATCTGTGTGGTTGTGAATCATACAATATGGGTAGGAATAAACTGTTTTCAGGCCCAGAATAATGTCCAAAATTTACCACTCCAACAGGAATTGGGAAAGGGAGCCCAGACATTGCAGGCAGACATTGGAGGCTGACTCAGACTCTTTTTAGAAGTCAGCCTTCTTCCTGTGCACTCCAAT